CATCTTTCTTCCTGGGGCGGGTGGGGGCAGGGTAGGGCCTCCAAGCAGGGTTGCCGGTATCGTGCACGTTTGACCGCACAGCTCTAGGAGGCACCATTCACACTGCGGTCACTGCCAATTTGAGTACGTAGTCACTGCCAATTTGAGTACGTATCGTGGCCACTTTGTGGAGGTGGTAGTGAAGTATCCTAAGGAAGAGATACCTTTCTCTGATTTGCACAAAAACATTAAATACAGGCCAGTGACAGCCTACTGCAAGGTTGAAAGCCACGCTCTGGCAACCCACTGGGTGGGTCTGCCCTCACTAGCTGCGTGACCTTGGGCTAATCCCTTAATCTCAGTTATATCATCTGTAAAATGGGGATAATAGTACCTCAGAGGCTGTCAGGATTAAAGAAAGTACATATGCCAAGGACTGAGCATAGTGCCTGACACATAGTGAATGGTCAGCATATCGTAGCTCCCCTAATTTGGCCTGTGCTTGTCTCTGTGCACACATAGATCTCTTTCCAGTCACTTTCCATTCAAGGCGCTCATAGCATAAAATAACTTTGAAACTCTTCCTACAAGACTCGTTACTGTGGAGCTGTTGATTCGTGGTAGGAATGGTTCATTAGTATTAATTCACTAGCTTGCACAGAGTTAGACTAGTGTGTCAGGTAATTCTCCTTTCTCCCAGCCCAGCCACGCTCGCTGACATAACTCTGAGGAGGGCCTGCCTCCAGGAAAATGTACAGCAGGAGGTGCACGGACTCGGGCAATAGATGAGTGAAAAGGAATAAAGAAGGAAAGCTCACTCTAGTTTTCCAGACAACAGATCGTCCCTGACAGGTCTGCCCCACAGTGGCATTACCTATTACAAGACTGGTGAACAAGCTCTAAGGAGGTCAGACTTGGGCGAACTTAGAGATTGTGCTGACAGGGGATGGGGGCCGGGGAGCCTTATCTGCCGGCTGCCTGGCTCTTTGGCTGTGTTTCAGGCTCCTCACAGTGCTGGGGCTGGGGGCGGGCTGGCAGCCCTGCTGACAGGGATCCTATCATCCCCGTGATCCTTGTCTTAATGACTGGCTGTGCCTGCTCTTTTTCCAATATGTTGCACACCAATATAATTTCTGTGAGTTACCAGGCCCTGATGTCATCTAGGCCCTGAAATTGTGTTATTGAACTAACATTCATTGTCAAACCTTTACAAGATAAACCTGTTTCTCCTCATCCTATAAATGTGTCGTCTCCTATGCTGTGTATAAGGAATGGCCTTTAGGCTGTTGTAACACCTTCACTGAAATCCTGTCTCTCTGTCTCTCTTTGTCTGTGTGTGTGCTTTTCCCCCATGTCCCTCTTCCCTTCCTTATCCTTTGTCACCCCTTCTCTCCCCACCCCCAATTTCTTTCTCTCTTTCCTAAAGAAAAAAAACCGGCACCTTCCCTTACTCTCTCTTTTTATTTTTTCCTTCTTCTTCTTCCCAACGCCCCCCAGTACATAGTTGTATATCCTAGTTCTAGGTCCTTGTATTTGTGGCATGTGGGACGCCGCCTCAACATGGCCTGACGAGCGGCGCCATGTCCGCGCCCAGGATCTGAACCAGCGAACCCCTGGGCCACCGCAGCAGAGCACCCGAGCTTAACCACTCGGCCACGGGGCCAGCACCTCCCTTACTCTCTTACAAAAGACTGTATGTCACAGAGGGAGTCACTGTTAGCACGGGCAGCGTGACACGGATGGGAGGGTGTCCACGTGCGGTATGAAGCAAGGCACCTCAGATGTTCATTCCACCCAGCTCTCTCCACTCTGCCCAGCTTGCCACCTCCACCCCAAGAAAACAGGGAGCTGCAGGGTCACTTATAAGAAAATGCTGCAGTAGGGTGAACGCTCATACAATAAGGATTCTCATGACTCCCGCTTTTAAATCATGGCTGTGTGCCTGCAGAAAGAGGGGGCAGTGGGTGTGAGGGTGCAGGGTGTGTTTTGATGGCTCCCAGGGCAGGGTGTTCTGCTGTGAGTAGGCATTGTGGATGGTCCTGCTCAGGGATGAGGTGAGGCTGTGCAGCGGGAGCCTAAAGGCAGCTGAAGCTCACGTGTCTGTCACCGAGTCACTGATGGGTAAATGGTCGCTGATGGTCGAGTCTGAATCTTCCACTGTGGACAGTGCTGCTGTGATCATTGTCACTGCTGCTCCTCTGGGCCTTTTTTCTACCTGTGCCGTCCTACTACTACGATTGTCGATTCTGTTTTTCTGTTTTATATCTTGCATACTTTGCTTCATGCAGTGGATGTGCTCCAGAAATGTTGTGAATAAATTGTGGTTTTAAATAACATGTTAAATTCATCTTAATACTGGAAAGCATAAAGAAGAAAATAAAGTGGTCTAAAATCCCATCACCTAGATAACCCTGTTAATATTTTTTTAAAAAATAAGTGTCTCTTTACTTACACGGTTAGAGTATATATATTTGCACAGTACAAAGGTGTGACTTGTCCAGATACTACAATTAGTACAAGTTGTAAATTGAAAAGCACCCCCACTTTTCTCACCGCCACCCCAATCCTTACCCCTCCCCAGCATAAGGAGTCTGTGCCGTGTGCAAAGCACTATTATAAGAATACAGCAATGAGTATTAATAAGAAGTACTTTGTTTTAAAGGACTTTCTAATAAAAACAAAAAACAGCAATGAGTAAGGCATCACCCTGGCCCTAAAAGAAGCTATTAGTCTAATGGGTCAAAGATTATTTAACCTACAGTAGGTTCGTGTGCTCCGCTTCGGCGGCCCAGGTTCACAGGTCCGGATCCTGGGTGTGGGCCTACTCCACTCGTCAGCCGTGTGCAGCATCCCACATATAAAGTAGAGGAAGACTGGCACAGATGTTAGCTCAGGGCCAACCTTCCTCAAGCAAAAAAAACTTACATGCAGTTCAATACTGCTAACCATTGATGTAGAGGTGCCATGGCTGAAATGGGAGTAGGGCAGGGGCCTATAGCTCAGCCAGGTAGATCCCTCCACTTCCCTCACATGGGACCCCAAAGCCTTTCCCTGGATCCCATGCAGTACAGGCAAATGGAAACACCTACTAGACAGCAATATGGACCTCAGGAGTGCCAGTCAGCTAGTGGCGTAGACTTAGAGGGTGGTGGGAGCCAAGGTCAGGAACGTGTTCTGGCAGAGTGTGCAGAGTGAGAGGGAAGAGGGCCCCACAGAGAGACAGCTCCAAGAGTTATCTAGAGATATGCCCCTGTTTCACCTTTCATTCACACTCTAAGAATGCGCCTTATAGGAGTAGTTGTGCTCTGTGTTAGCCGAGTTCACCCAATCAGATGCTTGAGGACACAGTGAGGTGGTTGAAGATCAAAATGCAACTAATACCGAGAACAGAATAATTTCTAATCGTATGAATGTTCTTGTATTAACATTGTCATTCTTACAGATTTTTTTTTAGGTAAAAGATCTGTGATTTGCTTTGGTAATCTCTAAGATGTCTTTTTCTTTTTCTTTCACAAGACTTTACGTATCAGAAATCTTAACCAACATTTCATGTGTTTCCATTTCTGATCAAGGCAATTTTGAGTTAAACAGGTTTAAGTTTTTGTCTTAATTTCAAACAAAATTACAATAACTGGGGGCTGGCCTGGTGGTGCAGCAGTTACGTTCACACACTCTACTTCAGCAGTCCGGGGTTCCCCGGTTCAGATCCTGGGTGCAGACCTACGCACTGCTCATCAAGCCATGCTGTGGCAGATGTCCCACATATAAAGTAGAGGAAGATGGGCATGGATAGTAACTCAGGACCAATCTTCCTCAGCAAAAAAAATGAGGAGAATTGGTGGCAGATGTTAGGTCAGGGCTAATCTTCCTCAAAGAAGAAAAACTATAATAACTGAGTATGCTAATTATTCTCCTTGCTCATGATATTGACCTGTATTTATTCTTTATGTCTGTTTAAGAATTCAGTCTTTTTTGTTTTCTGTGAAGATTAAAGAGCTGTTTAGGTGCAGTTTACATTCTGTTACGGAACATGACCTTCTTAATGAGGAGGGAAATATTAAAGAAGACTAACTGATAAATAGTTTTAGCAAGTAAAAGTGTTGTCAGTTTGAAGCAGGAATGTAAGGTGCATTTCAGCGGGTATTTGTGTACTCAGTGGCTCTGTTGGGGTGGGGATGGGGGGACACGGTGGACAGAGGGCACGAGGTGGGTCCTGAGGGCAGTCTCCACATAGAGCGGCCGGCCCACTCTGCGTGCTCGTGTGCACTCTCACTCCAGGGAGGGTTTGAGGAGCGCGTGTCCTTTTGGGTCTCGTGTGGGTTCCAGGCAGGCAGGTCTTCGTCTTGCTCCCCTCCTGACTCTGACCTCCCAGCCCCACCTCCTGTCTACCTAGGCCTCATTTCTGTCTTCCAGGTAGGTTTCTCTGCTTCTATGTTTGTAGTCCCCCCCTGCCACCCTGGAGCTGAGCTGGTTGTGACCAGTCTTTGCTGTCAGACGTTACGTAGGCAAGTTTGTATAACAGCCCCTTCACAGCTCCCAGTGGCTCCATAGGGTCTGGCTGTTGGCATCTGTCATTTACTGGCTCTTCCAGGCTCTCCAGCTGAGGTGCCCACCCAACTCCCATCCTTCCCACTTTCACCTTCGACTTCCCAGAAACTCAGCACCGACGAGAAGCAGAAAATATGTATCAGTTGTCTGAAGCTTCAAACTGATTTTGATTCTCTCCTAATCCTTTTAAATGTGATATGTGTTTAAATTAAGAGCAGCAGAGACAAAATGATTTGGGAAATGATGGTGTTATCCTAGCCTATTTCAGTGACACTGTAACATGGTTAAGAAAATTGTCTGTCGGATTCGATCAGTGTCGTTGAAGTGAACAGCCGTCATTCCCGGGGCGGCTGCAGTCACATTCTCACCCAGCAAGAGTGGTTTTAATGACTGAAGAAACCAGTAACCACAGACGCAGCCTAACCTCAAAGCATTGCTGACCTCCCACATTGCCTCTTTCTTCGATTTTTCAGGTACAACATGTTTGATTGCCCTCCTATCAGATAAAGACCTCACCGTGGCCAACGTGGGTGACTCGAGAGGGGTCCTGTGTGACAAGGACGGGAATGCCATTCCTTTGTCTCACGATCACAAGCCTTACCAACTGAAGGAAAGAAAGAGGATCAAGAGAGCTGGTGAGCTTGTGAAGGCCTCTGAGGATGGGCTGCCGTCCTGTTCCGTGCCAGGCTGCTCGTCTGGATGACCCTAGGGGGCAGAGGGCAGGGGGTGCAGTTACCCAGTGATTAGCAGATGCATCACTGGGTGCTGCTGAGGGGGCTGAGACCGCGCTTCGTAACATCTCCTGTCAAATCAGGGGCCACTGAATTTGCCCTTCTTCCTAGCCAAAGATTCCAGAAGGGCTAAAAATAGCCCTTTATTAGTTTGAAGGCTAATGAGACCTTGGGGCCCCTGCCTTCTGCCTCATTCCTGCCTCTTGCCATACTCTGCTTCCCTCAAGCCACACCGCACTCCTAACCAGTCCCCAGAAAGACCCATGTCTCTGATACTGGTGTGCCTTTGCAAGTGCATCCCCACTGTCTAGTGGCTAACAGTTACTTGGTCTTTAAGACTCAGTTTAAGGGAGTGCTTTTTTGGAAGGCTTTCCTGTCGCCCTGTGCAGAGCCCCCAGTCTGGGTTAGGTCCCCTCAGTCTTTCCCTAGCATCCTAGTGGACCTCTTGAGCCCTCTTTCACGGCATATGGACATGCCTGGCTCTCTCATCTGCCTTGCCTTCCCAACTGTGAGCTCTTTGAGGGCAGGCACTTGGTCTGTTCATCTCTCTACTCGCAGCACCTGACTCAGAGCCTGGCATAAATTAATATTCCAGAGGGTAGAGGGTGCCTTTTTCATTCGTTTTTTCAACATCCAGGGACTTGGGGATACAAAGTTACATTCTGGAATTGGGATGGGGGTGGGGAATGGAGTAGACAGACATTAACAATAAAATAAGTGAATTATCCAGTATATTCCGAGGTGGTAACTGCTGTGGAGCTACGTAAAGCAGGTAAAGGAACGAGGAGTGTCGGGTGCCATTATAATTAGGGTGGTGAGTGCGGGCCTCATTAAGGCGGCATTGGGAGAGGACTTGAAGGAAGGTTAACAGTTGATGATTACATTTGCACGATCCTCTGGGAGGGCATCCTCTGGGGGGGTCATTTCTAGGACCCTCCTGCCCCTCCCCAGACTGAAGGCTGCAGCCTGGAGGCTCCGCACACCCACCACGCACCAGGCCCAGCTGCCAGGGGAGCTCGTGCCCCTGGGGCTCTGACCAGGCTGGGTCCCTGCCACCTGTTGACTCAGTCTCTATGGTCAGCTTCTGTCCTAATCAACATTGCCTTTTCGCAGTAGAAAGCTGGACTTTTGAGTCAAAAAGTGTTGAATTTTATTATAACCTCCTGCTTCAGTGACTGCTTGAGATGCAGAATAATTTTTGGTGAAAGCTTTGGTCAGGTTTTCAGTTGATGGGATGAGACAAATGATGTTTTAGGAGCATCCGTCAAGCTTTGATGGGCAGCAAGCAGGATGAGCAAAATACGCTGGCTGCTTCTGTGGGAAGTCACCATGTCCCCGTGAGTCGGCTGTGGGCCTGGACTTCAGATACAGTTAGCCTGCTCTGTGTGAGCGTAGGCAGGGATGAGTCTGTGATACACCTGCAAGTGTCCTCTGAGCATCCAGCACTCTCTTCTGGAATGTCACTCCCATCTCTGCCTCCCTCCTCTTCCCTGCCACACCCTGCCCTGCAGTCATTCTTTGCAGAAGCAAATTTGAACTCCCTCTCCAAGGAGGTCAACCTAACCTGCTGTGTCAAGGCTGTATTTTATAGCAAAGCTTAAGGGACAAAGATTGATTTTATTTTTTATGTGTATTTTCTCTGACCTCAGCCTTCCTTTCAGGATTTCTGTCCCCTTCCTACTCAGCATGACAATACACTGCAACCAGTCTGGGCCACATACACATTGGTCCTGCCTCCACCCCTTTTGCTGTTTCCAACAACAGTGATATCAGCTGCCATACACTGTGTGCTCACTCTGTGCTGGGAGCCAAGCCTCGCGCTTTACAAGTATGCTTTCTCTTTACCTTCCTTCTGAGGTTGGTAATGTTATCCTCATTTTACACCCAACAAAATGGTGCCTCAGAGAGGCCTGTGTGCCCAAAGACACACAGCTAGTGAATGATGAGACCAGAACTGAGACGCAGGACAGCCTGGCTCCAGAGCCTTGCTCTTGCCACCAGACCACATTCCTGGAATGTTCTCATACATCTCTGCCCATGGAAGTGCTCCCTGTCATTCAAAGCCCAGCTTCAATGCTCACTCCTCCCTGATCATCACAGCCAGAAATCATCCCTGCTCTCCACCTACAGCATTTAGGGGTACCAGCCTCCCCGGAAGCAGACTGCTTTGTGCCCGCAGCTGTGAATACATGTGGTTTCTCCCTCCTGCCAGACTGTCTGCTTCTTTAGAGAAAGGTCTGGATCTTGTATAACTTTATAGCCTACAAAGGGCCTTACATGGAGTATATATTTAATAAATATCTGACAAATAATATGTGAATGATGGAAGTTCTAGCTCCCTTAAAGAAAAAAATAATAATAGATAATGTTGAAAGTGCATATTATAGCCAGGCACTGTGCTAAGTTTTTATTTGGAATAACTTTTTTTCTTGCAACGATTCAGCGGAATAGGTACCATTATTATCCCCATTTTGCAGCCAGGGAAACCCAGGATGAGAGAGAGTTTCTCCTCCAAAGTCACACCTAACTACAAGTGACAGAGCCGAGAATCAAATCCAAGCAGTCTGACCCAGAGCCTGAGCCTTTAACCGCTGTGCTAGAATATGCCGTTCTTTAATCTGATTCTATTTGGGGAGCGGTTTTGGGATCTACATGGTCACACCCAGGGGCAGCCTCCAGCTAAATGAGGTACCCTGGTGGTTGTCTCCAATGCCCATCCCCCTGCCTTTCAGCACTCCTTTGCCACTCTCCTCGAACTCCCACCCTAGTGCCCCCCCACTGTCCGTCACTGAGCTGCCAAGGTATTGTTGAGTTAGAACTGATGCCCTCACCCATACGTGTCTCCTAGCCTCAATATTCTTATTGATATATTCTTGAAGCTCTTTAAGATGCCAAGGATAAGGGCATGAGGATCTGTTGCTGTCGCGTGAGGCCCCCAGCCATGCGGCCGGCATGCTGCTCCTTCTTGCAGTGTGCGGGTGGGCTCAGGCTTTTGTACACACACTGGAACTCTACCAGGTGGGTGAGATCTCAGTTGGTCAAGCTAATAGGTTCATTTTCTCTTTCCAGGAGGTTTCATCAGTTTCAATGGCTCCTGGAGGGTCCAGGGAATCCTGGCCATGTCTCGATCCCTGGGGGATTATCCACTGAAAAACCTCAACGTGGTCATCCCAGACCCAGATATCCTAACCTTTGACCTGGACAAGCTCCAGCCTGAGTTCATGATCTTGGCATCAGATGGCCTCTGGGATGCTTTCAGCAATGAAGAAGCTGTCCGATTCATCAAGGAGCGCTTGGATGAACCTCACTTTGGGGCCAAGAGCATAGTTTTGCAGTCATTTTACAGAGGCTGCCCTGACAATATAACAGTCATGGTGGTGAAGTTCAGGAATAGCAGCAAAACAGAAGAGCAGTGAACCCTTTGGGGTCTCAGCTGCCTTAGACTAAAGGACTTTCAACACACTGATCTCTTTTAATGTAGTGCAAGGTGTGGGAGTTGCAGTAGGATCATCCATCCCAGACATGGGCCCCCTCCCTGGCAGCCTTAGGTCTGTATGCAGTGATGAACAGAGGGTGCTCTTGGCCAATGTAGTTGAGAGGCTGGAAAATGGTTTCTTCATATTTTCCCAGCTCTTTCATCCAATGTTCCAAATATATAAATATCTAGCTGTAGATGCACATGTATGAAGTGATTGGCATATGTGCCATATAGTCTCTATTTTAAGATTCTGTTCAAGATCCCTTACAGGGCCTTCTCGGCATCAGACTTTGTGTCCTCTCTTTGGAGCAGTGAGCAGGGCAGGCTCCCAGAGCTGTGGGAGACAGGCCACAGGTCACCTGTGAGTTGGGGCCTGTGTGGCAGCGCCCTTGCCGAGAAGCAGCTGTCTGAGGATGCTCTGTCTGCCCGAGCCCAGGTTTTCTGCTCAGCAGCAGCTCAGACAGATTTGGGATGGTTTATTATTCCGCAGCCTCTCTTGGAGACTGAAGGAAGCGGGGAGGATGAGAGCTGCCTGCACAGCAGAAATAACCTTTTTCCCTCCCTCCCTTTATTAGTTAAATAGACTTTGTGTACCACCCGACCAGTCTTTGCGCGTTTATCCTAACTGTGCATGACCTTAACCTTTGGCTTACCCTCACCTTAGACGAGGCTGCTGTTAACTTCACCTCCAGACACCATGAGTTTTGTCTTTCGTTACCAAGAAACCTATTAGAGGAAATGAAAAAAGCAAATCACTATACCACAATCCCTTCCATCTTTAAGGGCAGATAGAGGAAAATAATGGCTGAATAAGTCCCAGTGCCCCTTGGGAAGTCTGCTCTTTGCACTGGGATAGAAAGCTGGCGAGGTGACCCCTGCGCCGAGCTCCAGCTGCCAGTTTTCGTGCAGGGTGTTTTCTCCTAGCCCAGCAGCTTTCGAGTGTCTCTCGAGCAGTGATCTGGGGAGCAGTGGCCGGGAGCTGCAGGTTTGTTCCTTGCCGCCGAGGCCAGTGCCCAGCGCAGGTTGGAATTTAGTGGTGAACTGCTGGGATGTGCTGCTCTTGCAGCGGACGGGCCGCAGCCTTTAACTGTTGGTCGCAGATTTCCCGCGGCCCCGGGCAGCTTCCCCTGCTCCTGCCCTGCGCTCAGTGCGGCAGAGTGGGTTGGAACTCAAGCTTGAACCTGTACTGTTAAGCCCCCCAGAGTTATCTTGGGGCCAGGCTTGCTGCTCTCCATTTCCTATCACCAAAGTCATGTTTCCAATCTCAGTATTTTAGCAGTTAATTGACAGAAATGCTGGGTCAGCCTGTTTGCCTGACTGAAGTGGCTCAAACAGCCAAACAAGATTTTCTTTGCATTCCCAGCTCCCTTGTCTGAAATGCCGGGGTGTCCTCCTGGTTTTGGGGTGGGCATTTGTCGTTAGGCCTTCTTGAAGGCCCCATTCACTGGCCGCCTCCTGCCCATGCTGTCCCTCCCCTGCCCTTCTTCAGCTGTGGAGCTTTCCAGAAGCAGCTTCCAGGAGAGAACTCGAGAGGATGAAAAGCTTCCGTTGTGGCTGCCGAGGACCGCAGTCTGTTTAGATTCCTCCAAGCACTTAATTTTGTTTGATTGTAATGAGAGTTAACAATGATTTCCCAAGAACTTTGCTTACTTTTGTAAACTGTAACATTAGGATTTCCAATATTAGAATTAGAACCCTGGTTATTTATTTTTTTAGCCATAGAATGTTCTAGACAAGATACCTGCCACCATTTTAGATTGAAGTGTTTGTTGAAAGACACTGAACATTGGGATGTGTCATTTGGGGTGGGGGTTGGGAGGGAATGTGGGGAACATAGGGGTTGTGATCAGTAATGGGACAGTCAAGCCTGGTGGCCTGAGTGTTCCTGGGGATTCAGGACATCCTGACTCGGGGAGTTACCAAACCCCACATCTAACTGACGTTCAGGACTAAGCAGCCTCAGCATTTCATGGTACACAGTCATTTTCCTTCTTCATTTTTAACTTAACCCCAAAATCCATAAGAAGGGAAAGACATTTTTAAATTCCTGTGATGAATGTTATTGTCTAAAATGAAAATAGTAATGTTCTGGTGAAGTTGAAAAAGCAAAGCTACTAAATTAGTAAATTAGTGTTTATTTACCCTGCAAAATGTCTTAACAGACGGTGCTGAGTGCAGGGGCGTGTGACTTTCCCTCTAGTTCAGGTTCACAGGCATCTTCTAAATTTTGCTTTGTAGAATTAATCCATTTCTGACTTTAACCAAGTACTGTGGGTATTTCCTAGTCCCTTTCTGCCTCTTTTCCTCCCACTTTGGCTTGTAGATTTTTTGACGATAGAAGTTTGAGAAGTAGAGTTGATTAGTAGTTAGGTCTAAAGTCCGAGTCCTCTGCTGTCTTCCCCTGTCCCCCTGGGCCTTCTCCCTGCCCCTCGTCCAGCTGTCGGTCTGCAGGCCTCAGCTCAGTGCCCTGAGCGCAGGCCACTGCCCTGTTCTGTGGCCTCGGGCAGGTGGAGTCTGGCTGTAGGGACAATGATTTGAGAAGACTGCCTCTGAGGCTTCCCTAGACAGCACTGCCAAAGCTTTGGAATTGTCGCCTGAGGCTACCTAGACTCCCTCACCTGAGTTCAAGTTGCCAATAGCCCCCATGGTGCCAAATTTGGGGATGATTTTACAGTCTTTTAGAAGTGAAGCTGGGAAAGAACAGGCCGTGCTCATGAGCCCCCAGCAGGATGCCAGCCCAGGTCCTCATAATGCACTGCGCTGCTGCTACTGCTCCCCGGTAATGTGGACTCTTAAAATAGGTTGGGATTTAGCGGGGAGGGGGGTAGGCAGGAAAATCTTTTAAAAAATTCATTGTATTTGCAATTCTCTAATCAAAGGAATAAACAGTACTTATGTGGAAACTCCAAAGCTAGTTCCCAAGACCTGCATTTATTTTATGTGGCCAACTTGCCCAAGGCACTTAACTCTGAAGTCCTGTTCTAATATGGCGTGACTGACCCGTGTGAAGACGTTACTGGTCACCAGTGGCTACTGGTGATTCCTCGCTGTGAATCAAGGTTCTGGCCTCTTGAATCTTGTCTATGGAACAAGAATATTACAGAGAGCGTTTTATAGAGTGAAGGAGCTTATGAAATCTGGGTAGTTTAAAACAGGCCTAATCTCATACACCTGTAACGAACATTCAACCCGCGTACATTTTGTGCAAACAGCATTGCGTTTCAGTTCTATCTGAAGTGATTCTAGGAAACTGATTACACTGTTGAATTGATCCCTGGGGAATCTGGTTATTAATACATGAGGGATTCACAAAGGCAGGGCTCCCTTTTTCCTTTGCCAGGCACACCTGGATCTTCCCGATTGTTTTCCTCTCAGCTGCCAAGTCTAACTCTTGCAACTGTGTCAATGCAGAAGGTTTAGAAAGGGCAACATTTCATTTGAAAGTATAGGAATACATACTCTGGGTAAAGCTTTATTTTCCAATGATTTCAGAAATTTTCTTCCTCCTTTTGACCCATCATTAAACTGATCTTCCCTTAATATTCCCCCAAAACTGCCTTAGCTTGTCACACCAGCATTCTTGACCCAGCTCTGCAGAAATGACATGACTGTTAGATGCCATGCTGGGGCCTATTTAATTGCCTCTGGATTAAATTGTTGATATCTAGACTTTTTGAGCTAGTTGGCTGAACACCGCAGGAGTGATAGAATCCAGTGTTCCCCAAAGTGTGTTCCACAGAACACAAGTTCTAAAGATGCTCTTTCCTCCAAATATAGAGTTCCAGGGTCAATGACTTTGGGAAACATATTATCTTAGAAAGTTCATGCATATAAGCACAGTGAAAATTCTAATTTAAAGGTCCTAAAGAGGGAAAAAACACATCACAAATGTCATTTCAGTTAGCTCAGTGTTTTCCAGATTAATATGACCACAGAAACTTTTTTGAGTGACACCTAGTGACAGGAGCTCGTGTTCCATCCGCCCCACTTTGGGAAATTCTGGCGTATGGCAACGTTACTGTTTTCTCATTCACTGTGACTCTTGATAGTAGCAGCACAGCGTGCAAGTGAGAAGCACTGAGCCTTTCACTAAGAGGCCGATTGCTGTGAAAGCCGTGGTGGGAAAGAGTATGATTTAGTTTGCCCATCGGCCTCACGTGGACGCAGGAGCCCAGCAATCCAGCTTGAAGCTCTAAACGCCGTCTCCCCTCTTATGTGAGTAATAATAAGCAAGAGCCGTGCCATAGCTAGGGCTTTCTCAAATTCATTCCAAGATTGAATCGAAGTAAATATTTTTACATTTCATCACTATGTGAGAGTGAAGAAAATAATTGAAAATAATAGGAAAGAGGGAAAAGGCATATTTGGTTTTAATTCATTTTTTAAATTTTAAGTAGATTTTTAAAATTATGTATCCATTGTATAATAATGGAAATGTAAACTATTAACACTTACTCTCTTTCCTCTGTCATTCTTTCCAGATTCAATGAAATGATTTGAAATCAAAGCTCTTTCGTTCTAAACTCCCATCCCGCGTGGTCCCACCTTTCACATTTTATGGACTAATTGAGTTTGGCAAGTTACCTCTTGCCTGACATGCGAGGCTTGACTCCCGCTCCCTGCTCATCACTCAGCCTGGGGGGTTGTTTGGGAAGCTGTGAGCGAGAACCCCAAAATAACGAATGAAACAAATCTAGTTGAAAACATGGTACAAAGGGAATTTAGAGTAAAATCATTAACTTAAAATCCTATTTAATATATACTTGCCTTCTGGACATTATCCAAAATAGTAAAAAACTGAAAGTAAAGTCACTTAGGCTAGGTGGCAGATTTTGAAGGGCAAGCAACCGTTGACACCACAGGGCTTCCGTTAGGTATGTGCTTCTGAAGTGTTTTCTAATATGTAAACTTCTTTGCTAATTCTTAATAACGTTGATGCTTTGTCCATTATTTTTTATTTTTACCACTGTTAAGCTGCAAACTATTTAACCAAGGGTTGATTATGATGATTTTTATGTGTTTGGTAATAACCACCCCACCATCTGTACCATCATTTTAATAAATCCAAGCTAAGGACCTTGAAGAGAGCACGTAGTAGCTGTTCATTTTAACAAACCGTCACAGGCATTTTCACAATTCAAAACTCCACCTAAAAGCAAGCAAGCCGCAAAGGCGTAGATTCTGTTTAGAGATGGTGGTTCCCTGTAAGTTCTCTAGTCTGGCAGTATTTAACCACAAAGTCCCCTCTGACATTTGCCAAATCCAAATTCATCTCAGAAACCTCAAGGGTCCCCAGCTCTGGGCACAGGCGGGTTCCTGGGAAGGCTCTGGTGGCAGATGGTGATGAGGGAGGGGCAGGACGATCTGCCCTGGTGGCTCACTGCCTCTGGAGGGACCGGCCACCCTCTCGCATCGCCTTCTGTCATGGGGAAGTTCAGAGGTTACGTGCGGCATCATGCATTGTCTCAGCATATTTCTCTATCAGTCAGACAAGGCATAGTTGAAACTGCATTCATGCGGAAGCAGAGGTAGAAGATAGTCAAGGAATTGCGGGGGAGGAGCTCTGGGGATGCCGCGACGTGAAAAATGAAAACTTAGGTTATCAGAATTGGCGGGTCAGACCTTTCGCATGCCCACGTCTATTTAACGGTGGTCGCTGACGCCAGCACAGATCAGTGGAAGGTGGCTGCCCCCGCCTTTCCCCTATTCAGACACGGGCTGCCCCTCTGGAGTAGTGCTTACATGTTACTGAAGGCAGAATTTTAAAGCTTCCTTTTCATAGGGCTGATGGCACAGGCGGAACCACATTTAAGAAAAATAGTTTAGAACATTTTTTAATAACGAAATGCAGAATTTGGGGCCGGCCCCATGGCTGAGGGTTAATTTGGTGCGCTCCGCTTCCTCGGCCAGGGGTCACCGGTTCGGATCCTGGGCGCAGACCTGTGTACTGATCATCAAGCCACGTGGCAGCATCCCACGCAGAGGAACTAGAATGATCTACAATTAGGACATACAACTATGTACCGGGGCTCTGGGGAGGGAAAAAGGAAGATTGGCAACAGGTGTTAACGCAGGCCAATCTCCTCACCAAAAACTGCAAAATTAATTTCCAGTGTGGTCTAAGTCAGAACGTAAAGAAAAGCATTTTTAAGAAATTATAAAGTCAAAGGAGAATATAAAATGAAATGTTTTACATTAAGAAAAGTGACATTATATTACATCATGAATCATGCTTTCTGATATTTGTGCTCTTTCTGAAGTGGAGTAACACTGAAGTAAGAAAATGAACATTCTGCGTTATTTGTAAAGTTAGTAAAATTACAGTCCCTATTCCATTCTTTCCCAAAGAAAATGGACACATGTGGCCTTATTTACTGCTGTCCTGAACACCTTTACTGTCCTAGATTCTGTTCACTTTCCAGAGCCTAGACATGGTTTTACCCTGAATCCTTAGAATTTTTGCATTTTTGAGGAGGAAATGCCCCTTTTTAGAATTGTAAAACATAATAAGATGGGCTAAATAACAGACCTTCATTTTAGAGTGCCCAAATAAAACTGAAGTCAGATAAAGAGAGTCACAGCTACAAAGAGAGGGAGTTTTAAGATGCTGGTAATTTTCCAAATGCCAGTTTGAACACAGTGAGTATTCAGTTTAAAACAGTTTCATGAGAACAGACTCCAGGGTGATTTCCTGCTCTTGCTTCTTGGAGGGTTTTCTGATCCATAGAATGCCAAGGGTCATGTTTGCCCATATAATAAAGAAAACACATCCTGGGCCGGCCCCGTGGCCGAGTGGCGGCGTTCGCCAGCTGCGCTTCGGCGGCCCAGGGTTTCATTGGTTCGAATCCCGGGCGCTGACCTAGCACCACTCATTAGGGCATGCTGAGGCAGCGTCCCACATGCCACAACTAGAAGGACCCACAAGTAAAAATACACAGCTATGTACCAAGGGGCTTTGGGGAGAAAAAGGAAACATAAAATCTTTAAAAAAAAAAAATCCTGTAAGAATGACGTCATTAGCCATCTCTAACCCAAGAGAATGGTGTCTTGTGCAAATTTTAAATTCCCATCCGTCTTAGCATGTGCAAGGACAACCAGTGACTGGTTAGTATGATAATGAAAAGGTGTAAATCCTGCCACATGGGTTAAAACCAGAACCGTGGGACATGAAGCAAGAATACTCCCTCTCTTCAGGCTCCAAGACGACAACCAAACCGTCTTTATGTGTTGACCACCTTGATTCCCCTTTTATCTCAGGCATGTATTCCGAAAATGGAGTAATAACAAAAATGGAGAAAATCCAATAACTGTTGCTTCTATTTTAACAAGCAGTGTTTGCCCTTTCTAATGTATCTGAAACACATGTTCAGACTGCAGCAGTCACACCCACAGCATCGTCGTCAGTCTGCAGTCGCCACAGCAAGTGGTTTTGGTTTGTGGCAACTTCAGTTCAGGCCGCAGAGTTAGAATCTTTTGCAATGCCTCAACATTCCCAGCAGCCAGAAAAAAGAAAACGAAAAGGAAAAAAGGAGAAATTTTAATGAGTTCAGAAGAATGATTATTCTGACAAGCCTGGAAAATAGTAAAGAAACAATTAATTCCGAAACACCCCAATGTGGACTATATTCACATACGTAATTTCTATATGCCAAATGCACAAAGTGTTTCTTTTATTATAAGCATGATTGAATTTATAACACTGGTCTACCTTATGAACAGATTTCACTGGGAACGTCTCTATTTTTGCTATAAGGACATCTGCTGTGTGTTTTATTCTTTCCTGTATTAATGCTTTTTCCTGACACCCGCCACGTGCCGAGCAGACAGAGTCTAACCGAGTGCATCCAGTGGTGAGCACTGAGCACTCAGGCTTCATCCCTGCCTTTTTGGCACTTGCGGCCCAGTGGAGGCTTCACAGATACTATAACCTCAGTATTGGCAGAATGAGGTGAAAATTGGCATCTTTTATTCCCCCAATGGGCTTAGATTTGTGAGAACAGGGCAGAATTAGAGTAATTCTTTCCTACACGTAATGGAGAGGGAGTGGTAAAAGATGGGGAACATCCAGGCAGATTGCGTCAGATAATTACTCCGTGTGAGGTCACCTAAAGTTCCCAAGGCTGGAGTGGGGAGGTGAGACTGGGAGCCACTGCCCACGGGGGACAGCAGCAGTGCAAGCGCTCAGCAGTAGCACAGTCAAAGCCAGGGTGTCTCTGTCTCCAGGATTCTTCTGGAAGAAGAGAGGATTACAGAAAAGGAGGACAGGGAACATAGAGAACCTCTTTCCATGGCCTGCTTTTATTTGTGTTCCCAAGAGGCCATATAGTGTGACAACCTCATGCCCTCAAATTGAACCCAGAACTGAGAGTGTTTATCATCAGTGTCCCTGAGTGTATAAACTAGCGGATTTGTTATATAGAAATTAACATATTTCAGGAATACAATTATTTCTTGATTTCTTGATTTTAAATATGAACAGAAGACTAAATGCCAGATTTTGTTTTTTAATCATAAATCTGGTATCCATAGTTACTTTACACATTCCAGAGCCCGGGCATGGAATTTAAGTTTTCTATGTTGAACAAGAATAGCAACATCCATTTTCGGTATGGCAAAGCAAAACTAAATGCCAGACTTTTATTTTTAACCACAGAAGCCATCACTTCTTTCTAAATTCTTTGCCTGGTTATCTTACCTAAACATCTCTTTCTTTATCCAAGTAATATTAGCTATTGCCAAGTAGCATTAGAATCCTACTGAATTAAAATAATAGAGAATGAATGATAGGAGACTGAGAATATCTCACTGTGATCACAAGTGGGGGAGTTATTGTTTCTAATCGTATAAAAGGAAATCCAAATTAAGTCAAACCAATTTCTGATTAGGTATGATTAAAACCATAGGTGGAGCCCAGTTATTAAGGAAGGAAAGGAGGTTGGAGAGAGTAAGAGAAAACAACACTTAAACATGTAGTCTTTTTCATGAGTGGTGTATTTCAGACGCTCTGATCGCGTTCCCTGCTGCGTTTGGAAAACGTGACTTTGTATAAGCTTTTAGCGCACCTGTTTCAACATCTTGAAAAAGCTTCCATCAGCATTTCCTTGCTATTTTCAAGATCAGAATAGGTTGTTTGTTTATAAAAAGATACCAGGATCCATAATTTTCAGACAATGCTTTCTGTTAGGACTTCAGGATGTATTTAGTGATCAAATCACAGGTCAAAAGGACTGCTCAGATCAGTTAGGCTTTCCGGTAAGTTCATGCCTGAAAACTATCCGTAATAAACACACCAAACTTTGGCAAAATCATTACTCCTGGTGCTCTTCAGAGGTCTTTCTATCCACTATTCTATATTTGTCTCTAAGAGATGTTTCAAATAAAGTTAAAATGTCGGTTTGGTGTAGAGCTCAGAGTAGATGGCAGTGCACGGTCACTCAAGACACATGGCATGTCCTTCAGGTCCCTTTGACGTGTGCTGGGGGTAGATTCGAGCCTTGTAGACACTCCTGTGTTCGTGCAATCACTGATTCTCTGTTGTTGTACAAAATGAACAGCTAAAAATTCACCCTTGATGACAAGATCAAAGCAAAAATAAACACATTAAAGTTAATGGACTTTATACATGGGACTGCTGCCATTCTTTTCTTTTGGTTAAACTCATTTTCCATTCTAATATCTGTTCTGGAATTCCGTAACTTCTCAATGCTTTTGGGTTGGAGTGGCTGTTGAGTTGGGATTCCACATAGAAAGCAAAAGAACAATTCATGGGTGGAGACTAAGACCAAAGCACACGGACGCAAGAGAACACGACATAATTGAGACTTTCGGTGCTTTCATTTGGAACAGGAATAAGCCTGCCTCTGGTTCAAAACAAGGTAACTTTAAAAAATGTATACAAATGGGGCGCTGGCCAAATGGTGCATGGTTAAGTGCACACGTTCCACTTCGGCGGCCTGGGGTTCACTGGTTCGGATCCCGGGTGCGGACATCTCACCACTTGGCAAGTCATGCCATGGCAGCATCCCACATATAAAGTAGAGGAAGATGGGCACAGATGTTAGCTCAGGGCCAGGTTTCCTCAGCAAAA